TTGTGCTCAGCACACTGCCATGCAACTCAACACACTTCATCAGAGGGTACAGAATCTGTCACCACCGCCTGCCTGGGAAGAACATGCAAGGACGGTGCACGTCTCTTACCCCCACTGCCAGAGACTGAAGCTGCGACACAAAAATAGGAAAGAGAAAAAAAAATCTCACCTCTGCCCCAAACACCACTTATCCCAACAATCACCAGAACTCAAGGGCCCTCCTGCATTCGCACAAGTGTCACTTACACACCTCGTTTCTGTACTTTGCTGCTGCTCTGAGAACTAACAATACGTTGCCACCGACACGAAACAAGGCTTTGAGAGAGAGGGGTAGCAATCGCTGGAGGTCTGTGTTTAATGGAAGAAACAGCTGAGCTTAATTCAGGGTTAATTAGTTCACATTAGCCAAATTCAATCTCTTCTTGTCACAGGAAAGATAAACCCTGGAGAATTAATTATTCCTTATTCTCCTTCGTATTTTGGCAAGGTGTGGAGTTGCACAGCAAGGAGAACAGTCTCTCAGAACTCAATAAGGCATCACTCGAAGAGGACAGATTTAATGTTAAATGGAGAACATTTAATGTTAAGAGATCGTTAAGAGAAACACTGAGTGTATCTTTCAGTCTATTTTGAAGTTTAGCCTCCTTTCTTGCAGAGGTCAGAAGTGCACATAAACAAATTACTCTAGATATTCACTTACTTTCGCAGCTAAATACACAAACATTCAAGTCTCAGAGAGACTAGACTTTTATACACTTACCACTCAAATTCATTCATAACAACAACACATGCAGGCATTTTCTAAAACATTAAATGAACCAACCACACACAGACAGCAAGCAAGCAGATCAAGTGTTTTCCACCATACTCTATGGCAAATTTTTTTTGGTTTCCATTATTAAAGACAGGTGTCAAGTTTACTAAAACCAATCTCTGAAGAGATTTGCCAGGGTGTCAGATGGCCGGGTCAGATTAGTTTCGTGCCTCCTCCAGCACAAAGAGCAGAACAGAACAGAGGAATGTGACTGGTCAAGCCAGGGAGTCACTACTGAACAGAAAAAAGACACTGGTCACAAGAAAAGAGAAAATAATTTAATAAGAAGGTAACGTACATACAGTGAAGAATCTTGAATCATTAAGCACGCAAAAAATTACCACATGCGACCTAGTTTTGCCTTTGGGGACATCCACGTTATCATATCAATCTTAAAGAAATTTACAGGGTCACACACTGAATTCAGGAAACCACCTGCCCTGTGCACTGAACTAGGCAAAGCTCCCCTAAGCAAATAGAAAGTATAATTGCCCCATTATATGTTTTATCATATTACACATGCTCAAGGAAGTTTAATCACAGTTAAGTAAGTCAATTCAAGTCTGTAATTTGTTAACTTCCAAATGCTTAGAAGCTTAACATTAACTCCTGATATCGAGTTTCCCAATAAGGACTTTTAAATTTGTATTTTGAACCTGCATAAGTTCCTCCTGTGTAAAATCACATCATAAATAAAATGGGCTTGGTACATACAAAACTCTGAAGACCAACTGAAAACAGGGACCATCTCCACTACTTTAAAAGCAACATGGAAAATTTTGTCCTCTCACCCTGGACTGCCATTCACACTAATATTTCAAGGAGCTTCATCTGATATTTGAAACACAATCCATAAAAGTGTCTAGAAGGAACAACAGTACAGCCTGAATCAACTGTGACAACTGATAAAGATCAACAATCTAAACCCTAAATCTAAAGCATCATCGCTTTGCATGTGCACTGCAACTTCCGAGAATAAATGAACACATTTTACACAAAAGATTAATAAAAAGGAGACACACACCAAACAGAAGGTCTGTGATGTCACCTCACAGTGCTCCTGCCAGAACATCCTGGCTACCCAAAATCAGCCAATGCACTCTAACCAGGCTGCAACTTAAAGCCATCTTTCCAGGTAAAAGTGTTCCGTTTACAGAAACCCACAGCATCTGCATGCAGATTTGCAGCCTTGCAGCATCACAAGGCAGAGTCACCACAGAACTCCCCAGCGACTGGCAGGGCGTGAAACAACAAATGGCACACAGAGCTGAAGGCACAGAAACCTGGAGAAAGCCGGAACCCTCACCAGCACCTTGGTGTACAACACAAACTCGAAGCTGTTCCTCCCCATGTAACAAAGATCTCACACAAGCTGTGGCACGAAGGGGTTTTTTGCAGGCCTCGGGAAGTCCAGTGTGGTTTCCTGGTGATATGAAGGACATGCAAAGGATGGCAGGTGGTATAACTTCATAATGGATCATGGGGTAGCAGGTAAGTGTAAGGTGATAGACCAGCTGAGGCAACAATGACAGTCCTGAGCTGTTATGGAAAGACCATCGCACCTGGAGAGGGGGAATTCCCAGAAATCCACTGTAAGGTGACAAGGCTACGCAAAAAAGGGACAAAGACGGCTTCCCAAAAGACCCCAGCAACTTCCCAGCAACAGACTGGTAGGATCAACAAAGGATGGAATGGTGTGGAGGTGGCATGGCCTTCCCAAGGGGAACTCAAAAAGCCAACCCTTAGTCCTCTATCATCTGTCTATCACCCCAAAAATTAGTTTCTTGACTACATTCACTCAAACTGCCTAAGGGAAAAAAAGAAGTATAAAAAGAGGTCGGACATGAGCAAAAATTAGGGAGAAGTTCCATCATTTCTGCGGGGGTAACCAATGGGCTGCCTTTTCTCCTTCCTCTCCTCAGGGGTGAGCAACCATTTGTTATGTTTTACTTTGCTTTCACCTTTACTAATTGTACTTTGCTTCCTTATATCTCGCCTTACTAATTGTACTTTGCTTCCTTTTATCTCGCCTTATTAATTGTACTTTGCTTCCTTATATCTTGCCTTACTAATTGTACTTTGCTTTCTATGTTTTACTTTGCTTTCCCCCTTTACCCTGACTTTGATATTTTAATTTGCTTTATTTATTTGACCTTTACCTTATAGACACTAATTTTACCTTGCCTTACACCTTATAGACTACTGTGCATATATTTTACCCTTTTTTTTTAAAATATATTTTATTGCCTTAGATCAGGTAGTCCAACTAGTTGTACAAGGTTTGCCTTAAAGTGTGTATTTCTTGCTCTCAGTGAGTTTAAGTGTGAGCTAGTGAGGAGTTGCTACATTCTTTCCTTTTTGCTTTGTTATCGAGGGTGTTCAGATTTTGTAAATTGGTCTGTGGAGGAGGGGGTTGCTTGAGTTTTGCATTAAGGTGTTCTACTGATCTCTTGCTTCTTAGGGAGTTGTGCTGTTTCTGGGGAGCGGGCTTCTGGCTTGAGGTTTTATTAGTTAAGTGGAATTTTGCAGTTAAACATTATCGCCGACGACGCGGAGTTGTCTCAGATTTGTATTAATAGAAGTTATTTCGTGAGCTGCTCAGAGCTGGGCCTTTTTTTTGGTTTTCTTTGGTGCTGGCAGGCTCATGGACAGCGGAATAACTCGCAGGAGAAGCTTGCTGAGAAGGTTCTCCATTGCTATTAAGTGCAGTCCCCATAAATAGGGTATCAAAAGTCCTGTCCATCTCAGTCAATCTCTCAAGCAAAGGGTCTCCCCCCAAGGAGACACTGACTGACTGTTTTTGGACTTTAAAGGCTTTCAACTCCCAGGTGGAGGACATGAATAGACAAAAAATATATTAATACAGGAGGGACAGAAAATCCTTCATTTCTGCTCCTTTCCACGTGACAATAAGGCAAAACTGTTCTTTTAACTACAGCTGTACTTATTTTCACGCAGGAAGGATTTTCCACAATAATGCTACTTTTCAGAAGGCCACAATCAAGATTTTTAACTCCCTCTCTCTGAAGCACAAACCTGAAGAAACAATCCCTGTGCAGAAAGACACCGATTAAAACAAATTCAATCTTACAACACCTGTTCTAGTACAAGGCACCTTAGCAGTTCTCCTGGCAAAGTCACTGCATCAGCACAAGTGTCTTATTCGAGTCCTCAGCTGTCATCATGCAAAACTTCCTAAGAGCACATAACCACAGATTTGGAGCACGCAGAGGTAGAAAAATACTAAGTTTAACAAGCTTTGGAGCAGAGACTTCCAGTAGCACACACAGAAACGCAACACAGCGAAGGCAGAATTTGACCTGCGGCTTGTTGTCGGTTCTGGATCGGTGTTTCTCAGCTGCTGATCCAGGGAGCAACAGTCGGCTGTGAGACATCTGAAACAGCCCGTGGAACAGCTGCAGAGAAGGCTGGCTTGTGTTTTGGGCAGGAGGGGAAGAGGAGGGAATTGTTTTCTTGGGTTTTTTTATATTTTCAATAAATAATTCTCGCATGCAAGCAAGAAAGGAATCAACACAGGCAAGAATAAGAGGAGTAACTGAGCGATCAAACCTCGGCCTAATTTCTATGTCGTTGCAACTGTAACCTCCTGTGGCACAGTACAATCCTCAGATTGTATTCAATGAGGTCAGATGTCTCTTTGGACTTAAAAAGGTTGAGACATCCTTTTAGATGACAGATAGTTGGCAGATAATAACGTGGAAGATAAATGGAAGATGAGGATTTCTGAAGGACAAAATAAGATGATGAGATAACCAGCATATATGATTACAGAAAGAAATCAAAATTCACCAGAGAAAAAAAGCCAACTTGTCATAGACATTTTAAAATGTTCAGAAGATTCAGGGAGCAAAAGCCTCAATATGCAAATTCTTTATTTTGACAATTAGGAATCATAAACTAACACGAGATATTCCAAGAACTGAGGTCTCTAATACTAGATTTGTAAAACATGAACCTGCTTTTGCACCCAGTAATAAAAGTAAAGCCACAAAGAGCATTAGGTAGTCACAAATTCGACCCCTTAAGCATACTAAAAGCTCCAGCATTTGAGTGGGCTTAACCACATCCCTCTAATACTACTAAATCAGAATCACCTCACTGCTACTGCAGCTATTTCACAGACATTTTAGGGAGCCCAGCAAGTTACACGGTGGTTTATACTTACTTGAATCCTCCCATCTGAGAAGGTGCAACTTCCAAGCGGAATAGTAGAGAAATCCCAGTACCAGAAAGAGGCAGAGGGCTAGCAGCAGGTTACGCATAAACACCAACAGTCCCATCTTCACATTAAATCTGCTCTTCTACATGACCTGAGAGAGAAAAGCACGTTGAGGTTGGGGTCGGAGCCGCCTCCTCCGACGGACATCCTCCCCAAACAGGCACTCCCACATCCACAGTAATCGAGCAACAAGGTAAACACACGGTCAAACACACCCGCTACCCGGACCGCGCCAGCGAAGCAACAACTACCACCCCAGGCAGCTGCCTTTTTTGGCTGTCCCAAGGGTACACGCGGCTCCGGCGGGGCGGGGGGGTCACCGCAACGCTGTCACAGGGCACCGGCCCCGCTCCCGGACGCTCCACACAACCGGCCGCCGAGGCCTGGCGAGCCCCGCGTCCCCCGGCACGCCGCAGAGCGGCCCCGCATCGCCGGGGTGTCCCGGGGCCCGCGGGCGCGGCCGGGCAGCGCCGCTCGGGGATGGAGCGCGGCGGAGCCCCGGGCACGCCGCGGGGACGCGCTGCCCCGGAGGCGGTGCCGGCACACAGGGACGGCCGGGGACAGGCGGGCCCGGGCGGCACGGCAGCTCCGCGCCGGCTGACAGCTCCCCGCGGCCGGCTCAGCCCGGCTTTGAACGGGCAGCGCGGCGCGCCTCGCCGGGCTCCGCTACCGGCTACCCCGCACCGCGCCGCGCCGCGCCCCGCTCGCCGAGACAGCCCCGCGCCCGGCCCGGCCCTGCCCTGCCCGGCCCCCGGCCCTCCTCACCCGGCCGCCGGCGGCCCCGGGCGCTCGGAGCCCGGCTGCGCCCCCGGGCTCGGGGCCGCGGGCGCCGCCATGCCGGGCGCGCCCCGCGGGACCCGCCGCCGCCGCCGGGGGCGCCGCGCCCGCCAATGGCGCGCGGGGGAGGGGCGGGGCCCGCCTGCGTAGCGGCCGCCGCCGGCCAATGGGGCGGCGCGGAGGGGCCGCGGCCCGGCCAATCGCGGGGCGCGCCTGCCGCCAACGGAGGGGCGCTGCGGTCAGCGCGCGGCGGTGCGCGTGCGCAGGGGGACCCCGCGCGCCCGCCCCGCCCCGCCCACCCCCTCAGCCCCCTCAGAGCGCAGCCCCGACCCGCTCCCCACCGGAGTCCAAGCCGCACTCCCGGCCCCGCTCCTCCAGAGCCCCGCGCCGACCCCCAGTCACGCCGTGGCACCTGCAGACCGCTGCGTGGCCCCTCCAGGCACTTCAGGCTCGGCGCGTTGTCACTGCATGTCACTGCACCTTCCCCAGCCGAGGCGCCTCCAGACCCCAAGGCAGCCACCGCTCTGCACGCCCCTGCTGCCCAGCGCTGTGCCCCGGCAGTGACACGGCATCCCCTGCCCTGCGCTCACTGCCCAGCACCCAGTGCTGCCTCTCCGTTCAGCCGCTGCACTGCCCACCCTCCGAGCGCTGCTCCGAACGGCCTCGCCCCTGCCCTGCTCTGCCCAGCGAGGCTGCAGCCACTACAGATGGAGCTCGGCCGTGCCCGTCACAGCCCCGCAGCCCCTGTCCACGCTGCACAGTCCGGTCACTGCCTTCGCACCGTCCTCCAGCTCCTGCAGATCCCGGCTGCGCTGCACGCCCAGCAAGGTCCTGCCCAGCCCCTGCACCGCACTGTGCCACCTCCCCGGGCCTCCCAGTGTGGCACAGCCTCCGCCACTGGATCACACCAGGCTGGGCAGCACAGACCCCATCGGCTGCCCTCCTGCGGCACAGCACAGCTCGCACCACGCAGCCAGGGCAGCTCCCTGGCACTCCCCATGTGTGAGGGTCTCCACATTCTCAGCTGCCCTGCGAGCACTGTGGCACTGGGGCCTGCCTGCACCTCGCTCTTCCCACGGCATTGCCCTCTTTGTTGCTGGCCTTGCCATTTACCCCTAATGCTCGTTAGGCAGAGGACAAGTGACAAGCTCAGAATGATCAAGGGAAATTATTAGTCACGTGGGGAAAAGTCGTCTGAAAGGAAAGAAAACGTTAGGAATAAACAGGCGTCTTCAGCACAGCACAGCAGCCCAATGACCCTCCCTGTGTCATGAGTAACAGAAGGAAAACAAAAGCAATGTGAGTTTAAGGGAATCTAAGTAGGATTGTGTCATGATGTGCAGCACGGTGGCAGCTCCCAGTGCAGGTGAGCCCAGGTGCCAATGCTGAACAGCAGGCACTGCCTTGAGCAGCACAGGGCTGCCTGAGCACTGCCTGGGCCCAGTCCCTGGCAGTCCGCAAAAGGCAGAGTTCATGCAGGTCACAGGGAGAGCTGGTGGGGGCTCACACAGCCTCGCTTTCACAGCCAGAAGCCCCACTTTGTCTTCCACACAAACGAAGTCTGTGCAAGCTGGCTGCAAGTGTGGCACCCACGCAGCCAGGCTTGCTGAACTGCCGCACTCCTCTGCAGAGACATAAGGGAGGCACGTTTCGCACTGACATGCCATTAGGGTTTTTTGGATACCAGCAACAACTTCTAGGTGCAGCACAGGAGACCATCAGACTCATACAGACACCCAGGTACCACTGGCACCAATTTCCCCCACGGAAGGTGTGTAGAGAGGGGACACGACTGCATCTACGCAGCCCTGTCCATCCGCAGGTCTGCCCTCCCTCTGCTGCCCACACAACCCCCAGCTCCCAGGGCTGACCCACTCAAGATGCTTGTTGCTCTCACCCATCCGAGGCAGCTCCTTATCCCCCAAGTTTCATGGCAAGCTGGCAGCCAGAGCTGGGCTGGGCAGCCTCCTCCAAAGGCCCCAGCTCTGCTGCCAGGCTCATCTCCTCCAGTAGCACCACTGACTCCTGTGCCACATCATGTCTGACTGGAGCCCAGTTTTACTTTACAAACACTTGCTTTAGGCCTGCTTTTCTCTTCCCCTCTTCATCCCTCTATCTGTGTAAGCTTTTCCCTGCCTCAACTGCCCTTGTCCCAGTGACAGGGAGCTGCCTGCCCTGCCTGCCCCTGCTGCGCCACATCTGCTCTGCCTGACCCCAAACCTCACCCAAACTGTCCCAGCTGCACCACTCGGCCTTTGAACCCCACGGTGTGCAGGCACAGCAGGTGTTCTGATTCCAACGACGAGATAAGCAGGAACCTACAGCACGAAGCCAAACAGTGACAAGGCTGGGGCTTGCTCCTGAACCCGTGTTTGTCACCCGGGAAACCCTACCCCCGTTATCAGGTGTCAGTGTGCTGGAAAGGGCCCAGGATGAAGTCACACTTCGTGCCAGGCTGGAAAAAGCTCAGGAGAGAAGCACTGTGTGTCTCTGAAAATCAGGTACCAGCGCCTGGCAGCTGTCTAACATCCATGGGATGAATTAACGCAATGTTTAGTGGAGTGATTTGGTTCAAGTAGCAGGACTTCAGTCTGAGCGTGTTCCTACTTAACTTACACATTTCATTCGCAGGCAGATGTCAAGCTGGATGTTGCTAGGAGATAGGCAGCAGGGGAATAATCAAGTCTGATTAAATCCTATCATATTGCCGTGCCGCTTTCCAGAATGCTCTGGAGCCTTTCAAAGCCAAACTGACCAAATGATAGGGCAAGAGCTGCAGCACATCCTGCTCAACAAAACCCACTTGCGGCAAACCTGCTGAGCCTGTGACTGCCCACGTGTCTGCAGAGCATTTCCTGCAGCAACACTGGCCACGATCTGGGGGAAAAGAAGGCTCTGGCAGTGGCTGCATTAGCAGGTAACGCAGGACAGCTGGACCAGTCAGTGCAGAGCAGGCAGTGAGGGTTCCTGCCCCCATGTCCCTGCATCAATGCTGTCTGCTGCTTGGGATGCTCATGTTGGACTAGGCATGACTTGGGCACAGCAGGTGACCACCAGCAAAGCTTCCTTCTGCCCTTCTTTTCAAAGGGGCCCACCTGGGGCATGCCAAAATTGCTCTGCAAATGCCCCTCGTGTGCGGTTCTAAGCACCGTGGGGCGTTCCCACTGAACTGATGCCTGCCTGCTTTTTTCATTCAGGGTGGTTGAGCCATACACTATATGAAGAGCACGTAAATAACAGCTACAGCTTCCTTTCCCAACAGTAAATAAAGTTATGCTGTAACTATCAGCATCAGATGCCAAACACACACACATCAGCCTCCGGGCTTCCTCCATAGTGAGGCTCCTAATCTCATTTTGCTTCTCTACCCTGTAAAAATTATCATTCTAATACTCACACTGTAATCCTTCTCCCCAAATTACATGTCATCAAATCAGACCTGATACTAATTAATGCAATATTTTATGATTAATTAAATCCCACTAAATACCACAGCAAAGATCTCTTTCAAGTAATGGCTAGATGGAGATTACCTCTGCTGATGCACGGGCTTGGGGAATGCAATCTGGGCTGTAAGACACTTGTATTTTGTCTTATCTCTCTGACCAAACTTGTTTCATTCACACACTCATTATGCTTTATTCTTAAGCACAGGCTCTGTCTGTGATCAGCCTGTGGAGAATACTTTACATTTCTGGTGCTCTGGCTGTGCTAAGAACAGAAATGTTAAACAGCAGCAGCAGCAGGCCCACACAAAACAAGCTAAAACAGTCTGAACTCGGCTCAAAAATTCTGCCACCCTCCAGATGTTTTCAACGGCAAAGAGCCACACTTACCACTGCGGGCGCAGGCAAACACCTGGAGCCTGCCCACTCTGCTCCCCGAGCACTCTGCCCAACTGGACCCGCTTTCCCAGGGTCTTCCTCAGCTGAAGTGACCCAGTGGCCTGGCAGGGGCCGTGTGAGCAGCACAGAGCTCAGCGGTTCATCTCCTCGCAGTAATTCCGATACACTACGTTTGGTTCACGCACAGTTTCCAAGACAGGGGGGAGGCTTGATTCGGAGACAAGCGGTGCAGACTCCCACCTTTCTGGGTCTGTTTCAGGAGTCCCTCACCCTCACGTTCAGAAGAGCATCCCACCTCCCTGTGTCTGGCTTCAGCTTGCAGACATACCATTTTGTTCTGCCTTCTGCTTGATTAAAGAGCCTTTCAGAGCCTGGCATTTTCTCTTTGTGACACTACACATATGCTGCAAGCAAACCCCCTCTCATCCGTCTTTCTGATAAGCTAAATATACTGAGTTGCTTAATTCTCTTTCTGCCAGGCTTTTCCTCCCACCCTCAAGCCATTTTTTGCATTTCTGCTCCACGCAGCCTCTCTGATTTTCCTGAATCCTTTTCAAGATGTAGAATCCCACAATGAGCGTCCCTAATGCTTTGACACAGGGATTAAAATTTTTCCTATTTTCTGTCTTAAAGGCCTGCATTGGTCCTTTCTGCCATAGCATCAGGGTAAGCATTCAGGCAGGATCATCCCAAATCTTTTCCAGGCTTGCTGCTGGCAGGTTAGGGCCACTTGGGCTGGCCAACTGTATCTCAGCTGCACACCCAGAACCCTGATGGATGGAGTTTGGTGATCATGGATGTCATGGCTGCCTTTCCAGCAGCATCACAAATCAGTCTGAAAAGATGGGCTTGTGTCCACAGAGTGTGATGCAGGGCGCCATGCCCACAGGTCCTCCGGGGGCCTGAGGACTGCAGGCAGAGTCCAGTGGGATTTTCCTCTGGCCAGGAGTTGTTTTACCCAGCCAGACACCACAGGGCAGAGGGACACCACATTTCAGGGGGCTTAAGGAGCTGAGCCTGGCAGGACGGAGCAAGCCACGGCAAGCTGTCCAGGAGCAGACATCCCAGCCCACACAGTAGGTCACTGTGCTGTGAAAGAGAGGAGAGCACAGAACCAAGTGGTGCCTCTTGGCATCCAGGCTGGTTTGAGCGTCCTGTCTGGGAAATATTTTTGCAATGCCTCTTAATATTTTACCCAACCTGTTCAGAGTGACAGCAGTCACTGTGGAATCTGGTGCCCTGACCAGTTACTGGGCTGCACACCTTGAAAACAGCCTGCTTCAATAATAGGCTGTGTGAAGGTTCTTTAATTCTGGCCTCTCCCCAGCAGCACCCCCAGTGAAGCCTACCTGAGACCCAGGAGTAAAATGGGGAATCTTGCCCAGCCCATTTGCCATCATCGGATATCCCAGCGCACTTCTCCGTGCTGGTGCTGCAGGAACCTGGAAGGAGCCCAGCTCCAGCTGTGGCCACGCTGCTTCGCCCTCGAGTTTCTGAGATGATTGCTGAAGAAACCTGAATTTCAGAGACAGTTAGAGCTGTGATGGCCATGACCCTCAACGGGCTCATCTTGAGCCCTCCAGCCAGGCATTGCCCCGTCCCCTTTCATGCCATAGGAACAGCTGAAAGAGTCAGGTGAGATAGCAGGTACTGTCCAGCCACTGCCTCCTCTCAAACAGGAATGGCAGGAGTGACTCCATTTCCCGTGCTGTCACAGAGAGGAGGGAATTTGGCAGAGCAAGGGCACAAGGAGAAAGGTCCCCAAACCAGTCACACTCATGCCACAGGGCGCGAGTAATTTGCAAACATTCTGATGACATAATCACAGACTGTCCTAAACATACCTGGTAATTTTTAATGAATGGTCAGCTGGTAGGAGGTCAGTGTGATTCAAAGAGCCAAAGTAATGGGCAGAGAAATGGCAGAGTCCCAGAGGGCTGCTGGGAAGGTGAGAATACAGCTAAGGGCATCCTGAGGCTGTTACACAGCACAGGGAAATTCCTTCCTGGGCAAAAGGAAAGGTCTGGCTGGTGAGAATGGGAGCATCTATAGAGCACACTTTTGCCTTCTCCACTGCCAACAAAAATTCCATAGAATTTTAATTAAAAGTCTGTATTATAAAGAATTAATAAGACTCACGATTTAACAACTATGTGTATCAACAGCTACATTCTGAGGTCTATTGAGCCAAGTCTTAATGGGGAGACATCAGCAATGGGGAGTGTACCTAAACCCACAGTGACAGTATCCTGGTCCAGTGCCATTTAATAGTTCTTGAAACCAACTGCCTGAATGAAAAGGTCAAGGCTTACATTTGGGGGCTTATAAATTACTGAACAGGCTGCCTGCTGCTACAGCATGAGCTGGAAGGCCTGGGAAAATGATCACGATCCACAGCACAGTGATGGGCTGCAAAGGAAGGTTCTTGGGAATGGAGAGAACAGGCTGTACCACAGGGTGGAAGATGTCCCAGAAAACAGAGGTGGGAGGTGGAATTAAGGAGAAAAAGCTGGAAAAGAGGGCTGTCCCCACACATGAGTGTTGCTGTGAGCCCGCAGCACAGCACCTTGGTTCTGAGAACCATGAGTCAGAGGGTCACGGAGGGGATTTCCAAGCAGAGCTAGAGCTCTGGCAAAGCCAACTGGGTGGCTGGTCCAGCTCTGCAAACTTCAGAACAGGCATAGAAATCCTGAGGAGAAGCACCACCATAAAAAAGAAGCTAAGGCTTGGAAGTGTGGCAAATAAAGCTGTGTGAAATGTGAGGAGTACAGGCTACTCACTGGCCCTGGAGAGGGTCTCCTCACCAGGGGGAGCAGAGCACTGCTATGGGCAAAGGGAAGTGCAGGAGCCAAAGGTGAGAAGTTGAAAATGGGAAAAACTCAAACCTGAAAGTAAGTACAGCATGGTCTCTGAAGGCTGCAGGGGCAGCCACCCCCACCGTGCAGTAGCCTACAAATAAGATTAGATGGTTTCAACTTTAATTTTTTGACACCTGTGGCTCAAGGATGAAGAAGGGCTGCTGCATGGACGTGCTTGCTGTTTTGCCCTGACCTGTGTACATCCTCGGGTTCACCCCTCCTGATCTCCTGTCCAAACAGCTCCAGCAGCAAAGAGGAGACCAGGACTGATTCCTGTGTGATAGAAAAGGCAGTAGGGAGGGTGTGGAGGGGTCAGCCTGAGGACAGTCTTCTTCACCTGCTCTTTGCAGCTCATGCACAGGCCTTTCTAAAAACAGGTCTGACAGCCCGTGCTGGCTCCGTGGCACCACACTGCCTGTAGCATTGCTCACCACCAGCCCTTCACCCAGGGAATGCCTCATTTCTAGCCTGGAGCTTCAGTACCTAATTACTCACACTGGAGCAAGCCTTCCTGTACCTTCAGCCGGCCTGCTGAGGTGATGGGGCCATGTGGCCACGGGCTCCTCTTTACAGCCTCTTCAATCTGAACCCTGTCTTACCTCCACTGCTCCCTGGTGCCTGGTGAACTGAAGCCTCAGAAAGAACCCAGGTAACACACCTGTGACCTTCATGCAACACAGCAAACAGCTCTGTTGCTCATACTTGTCTCTCCCACACGTGCCCAAGTGAGCTGATGCCAAAACCCACAGCGCAAGCAGAGCAGCAGAAGTGCAGGAGTCAGTCCCCACTTCAGGTTTACAAACCTCCCCCATTCGCGTTGCTCTGACCTGTGTCAGAGGAATGGTTGGCCACACTGCCCCTGGTAAGCGACTCCCAGGGCATGTCTTGTCTGCAGAGCCACAGGCTGCACCCCTCCAGGGGTGGCTGCCCCTCTCAAACCCCCGTGATGCACCGAGGGGCATCAGCACCTCCCAGGATGGAGGGCCACGTGCCTGGAGTGAAGACACTCTTGGCAGCATCCCACTGCCTGCCCACCCAAGACCAGGGCAAGCATGATGCTTGGAAAGGGACCAAGGAGATGGGAGGCAGCAAGGGCATGGGGTCAGGGGAAGCAGGAGGTAAGGGAAAGCACCGATCAGCTCTTATCCTGCCAGTCACTGGGAGGTGGTGGAGGAGGTGCTGGTGTTGCTGGAGGAGCTGCTTCACCTGTCGGCCCAGGAGCAGCTGCTGGGCACAGGGTGCTGAGGCAGCCCTGCTGTGTCAGGAGCTCTGCTCCTGAGTGCTGAGGCTTATCTGCTCCCTCTCGGGAAAGGGAAGAAAGGAAAGGGGCCACCCAGAACAGCCTGAGCCGTAGGGCAGAGCAGGGCCTGTGTGGGAGCGTGCAGGGGCTGGGTTTACACCACCTTGACCCTGTGCTGCAGGATGTGGCCAAGGATTTGTGCTCTGCTGTGGGGCATGGACATGCTGTGTTTTGGAGATTCAGCATTTGTGGCAACCTGTGCATTCTTGCAGCTACTTTGCATGATGGGGAGTTAGAGCAGCCAGGGGGAAGTGCCTCTGGAGGCTGTGCTGTGTTTGCTGGCAGGACATGGGCTAACAGCAGCCATGAGGACTGAGCTGCCAGCCACAGACAGGGGACACACACAGAGGGGTGCTGCTGAAGCACCTCAACCCCCCCGGGTACATCACCCACAGTCACACACTCCTGTGGTGGTAGGTACAAGTGAGAACAGGACTTAGGGAACACGGGATCCTTGTGTAGTAATTGGGGTCCTAAATAGTGTGTGTGCAGAGCTGCCAGCCACAGAAGACTCTGCCCCTGTCCCAGCAGCCACGGGGGAACAGCCAAGCCAGCAAGTCCCCTACACACAGCTCAGAGGCAGCTGCAGCCCACCCAGCCCACCTCAAGAAGACAGGGACAGATCTCAGCCTCTCCAACAAATGTGTCCCACCCTACCCCCGGGAACCAACTCCTTGTGCCAGGGGAATATGAACTCTCTGCAGCCATCACCTGAACCACTGCTATGCTGGGGGTGCTGACAGGTCCACAGGGCCAGGCAGAAGCAGCTTCTGGACCTTTCCAGGGCTCAGCAGCCAGTCGAGGGAGGTTTGTACCTGCAGCAGGGCTGGTCCTTCCAATGCAGCTTAACCACAGCGAGGTGTTGGTACCAGTGACATCCTCCCTGACAGACAGGTTCCTGCTGGATGGGGTAGATTAACACTGCTGATTTGCACAGTTGCCCAGACAAGTCCAGCACCTAAAACCCACCTGGCCTGGCACGTGAGCTCTGGTGTGAAGCAGCCTGTCCTAGCCCAGCTCTTCTCCAACTCAGCCATAGACCCTGGCACTTCTGGCAGCGTTAGGCAGTCACCCCCTCTGCCAGCACCCAGGACACATCCACAGCTCAGCACTGTCACCTCCCAGCAGCACTGTGTCACTGTGTGTGCCCAGAGCATGGGGCTCCTGCTTCATGCCAGGCATCCCCAGCAGGGCAGGGGGACCAGCTGCAGACAAGCCTGGCCGCAAAGGGATGGCCTCCTGCCCCAGATCTCCTGTTCTCCAGCATCTTACCCAAGTCACCTCCAACTCACCACTCTGTCAGCTGCAGCCCCACCCAGGGCTCTGCCAAAAAGGGAAAGCTTTGATCCCTTCTTCCATATCGCTTCCCAAGCCTCAGGCCCTGCAGAAAAGCCAAACTCCTCAGCTGAAGGGGCTCCCCATTTCTGTGACAGCAAGTGACCATGTGTAATCACATTGCTGCCCACACTTCAG